TAAAGCCACCATTGCAACACCAAACCTGCTCAGGGGCCCTGCCAGCCTTCGACTGCCCTTGGCCGTACCGGGCACACGCTCTCTGCCATCTCCCAACAGCGAAAGTACGGCACGCGCCCGGACCCCAGTGCAACACTGTGGGTGCCCACGTGTGCCTCGCTCTTTGCACGAGGAGCCCCTGAGCATCCCTGCGACTGCAGCTGCACGTGCAGGATCAGCTTCAGCTATGCTGATTTCAGGGGATGCCGTTTCTGAAGCTTTAAACTGAAAGCCGCCTCTGGACACTCAGCTACAGCAGAAGACATCCACAATGACAACTCCACAAAAAACGTAGTAACGCAAATTGCAAACCCACAGCGGCAGCAGCTTCAGAGATATTTAGACCTGGAACAAGGGAGAAAAATAAAACAGCTGCATCTCGTGCGCAGGAAAGCGGCAGACAGAAAAAAGGGTCAGCGTTCACAGCCCTTACAGAAAACAGGCATTCTCCTTCCTTTCCGATACACGTCTCTTAGGTCTAAATATCGCAGCAGCACAGCGGCAATTCCCAGAGCGGGGAACGACAGCCCCGCCGCCAGACATTTATGGAGCGGGGCACGCAGACAAAGGGGCGGGTTCTGCCACACACAACTCTGAATTTCCTGAAAAGTTACCTTTACCAAAAAGAGCCACTTGGAATGTACTGCCAAACAACATTTGGCGATAAAACTTTGATGGGTTTGACACACGCAATTTTGGGGGAACTCGCTATTGGCTTCCTGCTGCTGCTGTTCCTCTTCCTTCAGATATTCTACTTGTAGCCAAGTTTTTCACTACCGGTCCAAGCACTTACCTTCCTGCTACTACAAGCACATTTACACAGGCAAGTAATTTCATTGCTCTGCTCAGATTACCCAAAGGAAAGTTACAGCCCTGAGAGAGCAGTCAAAAAGGGGAGGTCAGGCAGCAAAGGAGCTCTGCAGCCTGCCACCGGCCAACACTGCGCTCTGCTTTGGAAAACACGCACACGCCCCAAACGCATCCACACACCCACACCCCTGCAAAAAAACAAACCAAAAAATCCCACCCCTGAGGGAGCTGGGCGGAAATTAATAAAAGGGAACACCAGCAGCTGCAACATTCAGTGAAACTCGGCTTTACCGCTGACTGTGTACTTCAGCGACTCTCCGAGTCGACACCTCAATCCGCTGAACGACTAGTCCTTTCCTGGAAGGACAAACTTCTCTGACTTAAAAGTCTCAGATCAAAGGCTCCACGGAACAGAAGGTGGGTTGAGCCAAGGAACAACACGCCATCAACACTCAAATAGAAAAAACAAAAAAGGAATAAAAATTGAGGGAAACATCAGTTTCCGGCACGTTTCATTCACTACATTTCCACTGGCATCTAGGTGCTCCAAAATTAACGATTCTCACACCACAGACTCATAGCAATTCAGTTATGCAGGGAAAAAGAAAAGGCTGTTTCCAACTTGCCCATAAAATTAGCACAAACAAACTGAAGAGAAACGTTGGACCCTAAAGAACGTAGCAGGCAGCTCTTAATTTATCCGACAGGCAAGTTGGCTCTTTTACCCAAAAGAAGACATTCCTAACTACCCGGGCACCAATTCGGGAAGGAGGCACGCTCTGTTCACTGCAATTCTGCACCAGATTTTTCACGGTGGCTGCAGATTTGCCTTTTCTGCGGGTTTGACTCAGAATAGCTGTAGCGCCCCCGAACTCGCAAACAATTCTCCCTGCTCCCCGAGCCCCACGCCTGCCATTACCTGAGCAGCTGACGGAATCCACCCTGCAGGATTTTCCTCTCGGGACACGCAAGGGGACACTGGGAAAAGAGGAGGTGAGAAATGACCCTGTTTGTCACAGCCAGCCCATGGGGACAAGCCGGGGGACCCCCAGCCCACCTCTGCCCTCAGGAGCGAGGCCCAGAGAGGTGCCTGGCAGGGACTTAACCCCCCAGGGAAGAGGCCTAGCTCCTCGATGGCAGAAGGACCACTCGCTTTCCTGCTGCTCGTGGCTCCTCGATGGGGACAGCTCGGACTGCGCCCGGCCGCTCCTTCTCCTGACAAGCTCCAGCTACTTGCAACAGTCTGGGCTTTTGACAAGGGCGTCCTTCAATCACAGTCATAACTCAAGTATTACAATTAAACACCACAGCCGTACCCGGTTGAAGGTTTGCCAAGACGACACCTGAGTGGAGGAAAAGGTATTTGGCATCACCTTTGGGACGGTTGTTGGTGCAGGCCACAAGAGCTCTTGCATTTTTCAGACAACCCTGCCTTTCGTTGACTCACCGGCAGCTTTAGTTGCACTACAGCCACCTTCCTGGGTGCACGCAGGTGACAGACACGTACACTTCCTCAAACCTACATACAGCCAAGGTTTCCTCACCCTACATGGCCCAAGATGAACGTTTTTGTTAAAGGGTGCAGCAACCCACCTGTCCCGCTGAACTGGCTCCTTGCAAAAAAGCAATGATTTTTGCCAGGCCCTTTCTCCAGACGGTCAGAAGCTTTTAAAGCCACCATTGCAACACCAAACCTGCTCAGGGGCCCTGCCAGCCTTCGACTGCCCTTGGCCGTACCGGGCACACGCTCTCTGCCATCTCCCAACAGCGAAAGTACGGCACGCGCCCGGACCCCAGTGCAACACTGTGGGTGCCCACGTGTGCCTCGCTCTTTGCACGAGGAGCCCCTGAGCATCCCTGCGACTGCAGCTGCACGTGCAGGATCAGCTTCAGCTATGCTGATTTCAGGGGATGCCGTTTCTGAAGCTTTAAACTGAAAGCCGCCTCTGGACACTCAGCTACAGCAGAAGACATCCACAATGACAACTCCACAAAAAACGTAGTAACGCAAATTGCAAACCCACAGCGGCAGCAGCTTCAGAGATATTTAGACCTGGAACAAGGGAGAAAAATAAAACAGCTGCATCTCGTGCGCAGGAAAGCGGCAGACAGAAAAAAGGGTCAGCGTTCACAGCCCTTACAGAAAACAGGCATTCTCCTTCCCTTCCAAAACCTGTCTCTTAAGTCTAAATATTGCAGCAGCATGGCGGCAATACCCAGAGTGAGGAACAACAGCCCTGCCACCATTTATGGAGCAGGGCACACAGACAGAGGGACGGGTTTTGCCACACGCAACCCTGAATTTCCTGAAAAGTTACCTTTACCAAAAAGAGCCGCTTGGAACGTACTGCCAAACAACATTTGGCAATAAATCTTTGATGGGTTTGACACACACAATTTTTGGGAAACTCGCTATTGGCTTCCTGCTGCTGTTGTTGTTCTTCCTTTGGATATTCTACTTGGAGCCAAGTTTTTCACTACCAGTTCAAACACTTACCTTCCTGGTACTGCTGGCACATTTACACTGGCAAGTAACTTCACTGCTCTGCTCAAATTAGCCAAAGGAAAGTTACAGCCCTGAGAGAGCAGTCAAAAAGGGGAGGTCAGGCAGCAAAGGAGCTCTGCAGGCTGCCACCGGCCAACACTGTGATCTGCTTTGGAAACCATGCGCACGCCCCAAAAAAAAACCACGCACCCACACCCCTGCAAAAAAAAACAAGCCAAAAAATCCCACCCCTGAGGGAGCTGGGGGGAAATTAATGAAAGGGAACACCAGCAGCTGCAACATTCAGTGAAACTGGGCTTTAACGCTGACCATGTACTTCAGTGACTCTCGAAGTCTACACCTCAATCTGCTGAATGACTTGTCCATTTCTGGAAGGACAAACTTTTCTGACTTAAAAGTCCCAGATCGAAGGTTCCACAGAACAGAAGGTGGGTTGAGCCAAAGGACAACACACCATCAACACTCAAATAAATAAAACAAAAAAAAAAAAAGTCAAGCGAAACATCAGTTTCCATCACATTTCATTCATTACATTTCCACCGGCATCTAGGTGCTCCAAAATCAACGATCCTCACACCGCAGACTCAGAGCAATTCAGTTACGCAGGGAAAAAGAAAAGGCTATTTCCAACTTGCCCATAAAATGAGCACGAATAAACAGAAGAGAAACACTAGACCCTAAAGAACGTAGCAGGCAGCTCCTAATTTATCCGAGAGGAAAGCTGGCGCTTTTACCCAAAAGGAAGACATTCCTAACTACTCCAGCACCAATTTGGGAAGGAGGCACGCTCTGTTAACTGCAGTTCTGCACCAGATTTTCCATGGTGGCTGCAGATTTGCCTTTTCTGTGGGTTTGACGCAGAGTACCTGTAGCGCCCCTGAACTCGCAAACAATTCTCCCCGCTCTCCCAGCCCCACATGTGCCATTACCTGAGGAGCCGACGGAATCGACCCTGCAGCATTTTCTTCTCGGGACACACAAGGGGAGACTGGGAAAAGAGGAGGCGAGAAATGACCCTGTTTGTCACAGCCAGCCCACAGGGATAAGCTGGGGGACCCCCACCCCACCTCTACCCTCGGGAGCGAGGCCCAGAAAGGTGCCTGGCATGGATTTAACCCCTCAGGGAAGAGGCCGGGCTCCTCGCCAGCAGAAGGGACCACTCCCCTCCCCGCTGCTCGTGGCTCCTCGTGGGGGACAGCCTGGCCTGCGCCCGGCTGCTCCTTCTCCTGACAAGCTCCAGCTACTTGCAACAGTCTGGGCTTTTGACAGGGGCGTCCTTCAATCACCATCATAACTTGAGTCTTGTGATTAAACACCACAGCAGTACACGGTATAAATATCGATTAGTTTGTGTGACTAATTACTTAACAATTAAACAGCATACAAAGAAGAGCTAGACTCGAAGAGGAGAGGGTTCCCTCCAGAGACCCCCTCAGACGCAGAGTTCAGCCTGCTGCACCCCCACCTCCTGAACTCGGGGGTCCCGCAAGACCAGACCCCCACCTCGGGGGAGAGTCCATGCACCCTGCCTACCCGCTGCTTAAGCCTGCAACCCCAGCACCCTCCCGCCTCTCCCTGCCTCCCACCTCACTGCAAAACCAGCCAAACGGGAGTCTGCTCTTGGCCCCCAAAACAGCTCACTTACCGCCCGTTTCTGAGCCCACCCCACAGCTCGCCACCCCCCGGGCCCACAGGCACTTCTGGGGAGCGCTGGGCAACTGCGGAGGGCCCGGGCCCACCTCACTGCGGGGCAGCGCCATCACGGCCGGGGCACCGCTTTGCTATCGCCCTTTCGGGCTTCATTTCTCCGGCACCACCAGCCCCGCACCCCAAACCCCACAGGTCGAAGGGACTCCGCGGGAAGCCGGGCCCAGCCACCCCCGCTCCGACCCTACAGTGCCCGCCGTTCCCCCACAGTCCTCAGGCCCCCCGCTCACCTTCAGGCGCTCCAGCTACCTCACGACGGGCTGGCTGGTCGC